TTTTGTTTATTTTTTTGAGAGAGAGTTTTTAGATGTCGTGTTGTTTACAGTTGCAGTGATACGTATAGTCATAGTGTAAATATTTACACGTTTCTAATCGATCCGAAGGTGCGACATCAGTAGACGAAAGCCGTGAAAGCAACGAGAAACAGTTGGGGTGTAACTTATCCTTGTTGCGTCAAATATAGTTTCCACTTAACCTCAGAATCTTTTTTTTGATAAAACTGTCCTCGTCCATAAAAAAATAGGTTTAAAGGGAAACGCCGACAACTTAAACCTGGCGCAACACTTTTGAAAGAAATAGATTCTGGACCAGCCCATGATCACCGTGGCGGATTTCAGAAGAGAGAGAGACGTCGTGCAAGTATTTCAAATGATTTGACTTTTTTGCGATCCTGATTATCGTTTTATAGAGACTATTTAGTCCGTGTTAAGTAAAAGATAGCAATAGTTTTGATAGTGACATGAAAACGAAGCGTCGAACAAACAGGAAATTACACAGCCCTTACACACTGCTAATTGTTTTCATTTTCGAAGGCTAAAAGTTTCTGAATTGTTTGGTGATTGGTGTTGAATGTCGAATTCACACCTCTATTACCTTTACTTGCAGCTTGATCTGCGTAATAATTTATGGAATAAGAATCCGGGCTTGGGCTTTCAATGTGTTTCGACTAAATACAGTTTTAAAATGATATCATAATTATGACAATCACGCCATGGATCACGCTAACTCGTATCCACTCTGAATTTATCTGTATGTGTGTCGATCTCAATTATTTTTGTTATCCAATTAAACGCCGCCTTTAACGAACTTGCCCTCGTCGTGACCCAACGCGTTCACCTATTTCAACAAAATGTAAATTTATTTTCACGCGGCTGTCATTTATTTAGTAACTGATTTGTCGTTTTTTAAAATTATTTTATTTTATTTATTAATCACTATAGTATAATGTTTAGAATGTCAAAATATGTTCTATTTTTATTTTAATCACATTCCCTCAACTGGAGGTACCGGTGACGATCACGGTGACCAGCTACACCAGAACGAACGTATGTTCATTATGGTCCATTCTTCCTCAATGAACAAGTACATAAGTGACATTTTAGTCAAAAATGAGAAAACTGCACAAGAAATATTTTTATTTATATGTATCGGCAATGCAAGCTTCCCAGCGACTTCCCCTTCTGACGTCACAAGGGGAATTTCTGTATGCACATGAAAGCTAATGAGGAGCCTCGTTTAAAATTCACAAAAATAAAGTTGCCGTAGACTCAGTTTAAAACACATTTTTTCACTTAAAAAAATAATTTATGCTTATAAACATAAAAATTAATAATATTTATGTATCATTGGATAATTTTATGCGTGAAAATAGCAGCCATTTCGCAGGCACTTTAAATGGACTTTATAATTAAAAAGTAATGATGCAATTGTATTGAATCATCACTTGATAAATAATAACTTGGCCAGTACAAAATAAAACTACCCTACCCGCATGACTGATAACCCAACCAATAACACAAGTGGTAATATTAGCGTTTTTTTTTGACAATACACTTAAAATCTAAACTTGGAAATTCTGACACAACACTGTTATTGATTACATGTAAGTTGGTAAATAACTTTTTTATCTGAGTAAGGACATACTATGACAAGATTGTGCAAAGAGCGTATCATTCCAACCCCAGGATATGTCCACTGCTTACGCTAGGCTAGGATTATTTGCAAACATTATATGCACTTGTTTTTCCAGATTAAAGTAAAATAATTGACGCTCTTATTTCAAATAGAGAACTATATCAATGCATTGTATTGTACTTGAATATAGTTTTGAGTTAATTCATACATTTTCAAAAATAACGATGTTATTTACACTGTACATTTAATCTTTTTACAGAACATTGTTATATTAATTAATCTTATTGCCTTTTGAGTACACTATTTAATATATAACATGCGCAGATTAGTTATGTAGATTAGCATTTTTCTGACTTTTCTGACCTCAACTAATTAGAAAAATTCAAAATAATATAACTAATTTACCAACTCGTCTGAAATGTGTATGCATCTTCTAATATATAATTGATAATATATTATGTCTCATATACTGGAATAAAAAAAAGCTTTCATTGACAAAAATAATTATATAACTATATCAACACTATGAAATCGAATAATATTAGATATAATATATTTTAAATCGACCTTACGTGCGGATAAACGTTAATGTCTATCTATGATAAGATAATATGTATTCCCTATACACATATGCACATCACATAGGAACTACTTGGAGCTAGTAATGTATTGATACAATAACGAACAGTGACATTTGTTTATGTCTAATTTGCCATGGTCACACTTCTAAGGTATATGAAACTTAACCTACCATTGAGTGACACACATGAATATGTAGAACACTATGAACTATTAGATTTGTATCGTTTTGCTGGTTGTGTTTACATAAACTTTTTTTCTGTTTTTTCTACAATATGTCTAGCATGATAAACAATTCAAGTAATTTGTCAGTGTGAATGTGTTATCCCTCTTCAGGTGAATCATTTATCCGAAAACAATTGACAGTAAAGTGAGCCTGAGTAATGTTTGAAAAGAATTGTTATTGAAAAAGTGTTATTATTCTCCACGCAAGTGTATACAAATCACAAAGGTCTTTGATGAAGCTGTAAAAATACACGTAAGACATTTAATCAATCATACATCAGGGTTTTTATTATATCCTGAAACTATACCTATCGTCATTCACTAGTTCATCTTTTCATCTAACTGGCAGAACACAGTGTAAAAATGGTATTTTTTGTTAAAATATACAATAAAAACAAGAATCTATTACAAAATTATTGCCTACTCTCTCTTGATACTGGGATCATTAAGTAAATGTAAACAAGGTTTGATCATTTTTGATAATTATTATTTAATAAATAGTGTGTGGATTGCACATATAATAAATAAAGTTAATTTGTTAGTGTAGTTGTACTGTAAGTAAACTTTTTTTTATTATCCATCTAACTGCCTTTCTCTGCTTTGGTTTTAGCACTGGGCTGGTCACTGCTTTATTTAAAAACAATGCACGTTCTCATCTGTCAATACACATTCATTCAATATCATATTTACATATATGCTCACCAGAGGACGATAATTAATAATTTGCCAGAACTTATATACGGGATACAGGTCATTGTCAATCAGTCATTGATTTTCATTGAGTCATTATACTGAAACATGTACTAGTCACTAACTAATCGCCACGTGGTGGCATGTCAGATTATTTGCTCGGTCGTTTTGAGTTGTTTAAGGCAGACATTGTTCCACGTCAAGTGAAATTGAACGGTTGTATTGCTGTTCTATGGGGGTTTCAAGAACCGTGTATTCATTCTAAAGACGTTTGCAAGAGGTTTAGTTCTGTTCTATACAAGGATTGCAAGAACTCTCGACCATTCACCGATTACATAGTTTGTTCTCTGCATCATATTCAAGCCTTGTATTGTCGTCCATCAACAAGCTGAAGATTGGGCCTTGTGTTGCGTGCAGTCAAAAAGGTTGGCGAAATAGCACTGACTATGACGTTTGAAATTAGGTAATTTAGTGTCTATTCGTTTACGACTCTCAGCGACGATAAATTTATTTTTCCGTGTATTGTTTCTAATTGTATGTACCCCGACATATTGTAATACATTTATGATAAATTCATTGTTCATTCAAATATTTTCATGTGGTATTCATGCGAATACAATATTTAATTTTGATAACAACCTGACTATGTGTCGTTTCATGATGGAATTTCCCTGTTTGAGTTTGAGTCAACGGAAAGATTTATGTCTGTTCCCGGCCGACATTCGAAACAAACATTGCCATAACACTTCTCAATGCATGGTTTTGCACGGCTATTTTGACTATATGCTCATTCAAAAGTACATATCAATGTAGTGATACTGCCACCGAAAACTGTTTTTATTGGGTAGTGAGTAGTAAACCCCGCTGAGAAAACAACGTAGTATCTTAATCTCACAAGTTAATCTTAATGTGTGTGCATTTCCAGCATTTTCGAGATTCATCTTGTACAGGGAGAAGTTCACTAGTTGGGTGCAAATTGGTAAGTAAGACTGGGATCTCCTCTACGCTTATGACTCTTGAATATTTGATGCATATGACAGTTTTCTTGGTTATCCTGCTCTTGTGCTATAGGCTAAGTGAGATAGCAGCCCACTCATTTTCTGACAATTATACCTTGTGGACTATATAAGGCGTTTCTCTGGGGATACAAAGAGAGCCAGAAGCAGGATTTGAAACAACTCCTATGTTTATCCCCTAACTCCTGCGAATCACGTGTAGTGAAAACTAGGAGTAATTCATAGTTCGTTAAGTTAAAGCAGGTGCAGGTATTATTTTGAAACGCATGAAACAAACGGTTGTCATTTATGAAACAGGAAACAACCCACAGATGCAACTACCATGACATTGACCATTGGGTAGAATACATACCCAACAATGCAAGCCTCGCCAAAAGAGACAACATTTGCTGAACTGCCACAACCACTCTGTCCGACATAACTGCAACTTAATTTCGAATTTATTTGAGGGCGCTGTCATACATGCTTGATGTGTAGCTGCATTACGAGTTCGTTCTTCAATGCGAGGTCAGGATAACCATTATAAACCTGGGGATGGCGAGAAAATCAGGGGAACAATAGATGTAGATACATACAGTCATTGAGGTTGCTCTGCATCTAGTGACAATGCACGATCTCAAGTTTTTTGAAGTACTGGTAGACAAGTTTTCAGAGGGGTAGATCCCCAAACTTGGTGACTCCTCATATTTCCCAAGGATACACTGTATATTAAGGCACGTAAATCAATATTAATTTACAATGTCAACATCGCGAAGCTATTTAAATTGGTTGTACTATTACGATAATACTTCCCTTCAGTGTAATGTCTCATATTAAACACACACTCACATATCCAATAATTACATAATGCATTTCCCTGTAACCGCATTTTATTAGCACTAAATGTACACTGTATATATGACGTGTATTACACCTAATTTAAACAAAATACCCGTCACCATTGTTGAATATGTCATTGTAGATTTTCTCAACATCAACATCAACGTCCTCGGATTATATACTGCAACTAAGGAATGAACACAAAGTAAATTGTCATTGTTTGTAGACATGAGATTGCCAAAAAAGGAACACACAGTCTTGTGTTACGTACTGGAAGTCGTCAAACCTCTTCTTCTTGATATTTATTGATATGCCGATTATATCAATCATAATTGTGAATAGTAATTTGTGAAAAGTACTTGGTACAGTAACTGTTAAATATCGGAACTCTAGTGCAATTAGTACATACACAAAACACTCAAATTATCGGGAAATTGCATTTCATTTGAGTAATGCAATGTAGCTCCTCTAAGACGTTGTTTTGTTTTGTTTCTTGTGAAACGTTTACACTATGTTAGTGTCTTGAGCATATACACAAAAGGCGTATGGTATTGTTGGTTGCATTTATTGTTCGTTGTGTAGCAGTATGTCAGAAAAGGTGTAAGCCAAGTATAACTGTTTTTTTCATATTATTTTCAATTCATTTTCAATTGCATAGATCTACATTTTAAACAGTGTAAGCCACTAATGTATAATTATAAAGAAAGCAATACAAAAATAATTGTTGGGCCCGATTCCTCACGAATCTGCATCTATATTTCAACAAGTAAATATAGTAATGTTTACCTTCCTGGAACAATCCACTTGTTCCCAAATTCATCAGACTCAGTGACTAATTTCAGTTTCCCATCAGGCATCGGTATCTGCATATCATTAGATGGGTTCCCGTCAGCGTTTCCCATCAAGCCACACACTTTTCCGAACATGGCTTGGTTTAGAACAGGAGCAACGCGTCCTTTGCCGTTCCATGTCAATGTAAATGTTGAATCCAGTTTTGCTCTTACGTATCCTGCATTATCTCGTGTCACTGTAAGATTTCCGAGTATCAGTGGAGTCAGTAGATTATGGATTTTGCCATTTATCTAGAAAGTATATTAAAAATATAAATGAATATATGTTACTGGTTGACGCTGAATTGTAATGTATCACAAAACTAGACTAGGCTATGTGCAATCCACAAACTATTTATTAAATAATAAACTATAGAAATTCGGGTATACGTTGAATTATTGCGACGTATCCGTATATGTATCTGTCGGAAGAAAAACGTTCTTCATAATGACGTATGATATTTTATAATTGACAGCAATATGTAACATTAATAACAGTTTCTAGTAATGAATAAGGTTCCTCTGCTGTTTCTAAAAAGCATTGTTTGAGAGTGGAAACAAATAGAATTCGAAAAAAAATGTCATTGTAAGGAAATGACAAAGTTACTATCGATCGCACTGCCAATGTGACAGCAAAAACACTTTTGCAAATTAATTTATATTTATTGACAATATTATCATTAAGAATAAAACTGCAATGATTTGGGCTAGCTTAGTGAGCTGGTGGTAAAATTACATAAGATTGTAACAGCGCTATTGAAATATTGTTTGCCACTGCTTAGAGTTGCAATTAATTAAGCAATCATGATGTTATCTAATTGGTGGACACGGCTCAGCCATGATAGAAGTAACTAAACTATATGTCTAACAAGTGAACACAACAATGGAGAGGACTGAAATCTACTCACGTAAAGCCTGTCTTCAATCAAGGTAACACGGTTCCCATTAAGAACAATCGAAACTTCAGTGACCACCATTTTCATTGCTTCCTTCAAATAATGATGTCGGGTCAAAACAGTGAATGATGGACGAGGCACACACTCTTGAAAGAATACGTACTCGCAATCACTGTGACCATTATACATGAAATGAAAGCCGTCGAATGTACGGAATTGTGGGTCGCCGTGTCCATTAGGAATTGGTGTTGCTGGGGGTGGTTTTATTGCTGTAATAGAGAATTGTTTTTATTGCCTGGTTTAAGTAATATTTTAATAATTAAGTAATAATTCGAGATTCTAGCAAACAATCTTCGAGGTGGAATAGGCGCGTCATAGAAATTTTCATCTGAGATCAAAAAGATAAATTAAATACTGTTGACAAACTGATTTGTACTTGTTACAAACATTGTTCAACGTAATTTTGTTGTCATAATGACAATATTTTTAACACAGAGCTCTGTAATTCTAGATAAATCTTTAGATTTGTATTATCTTAAATACTATTACGTTTGCAACATTTGCATAGCCATGGTAGTGGACAGGTTGCCCAATTTCCTAAGCGCTCCTTTTCGCCACATTTCAACAATCTACATGTCCCTCCATATTTTTCACATTCGGTGTCTGTAATTTATAAATAACATTGTTAGTTGGGCAATAACATCTTTTCTAGATTTTATGTGCACTCTCTTCTATTACGTCAGCGAATTGTGTGACGTGTGCTTAGCCGGATCGTGTGGGCATTACGACAAGGACTACACATTCGGGATTTTGCAGAACGTGTACGGCATATCAACAACATATCATACGTGGAGATTATTGGGTTATATTTAGCAAAAACATGATAACTAGGTTTGTTAAAATGATATAATCAATACTTACGACAAAACCATTTACATATATTAAAACCCAATTTTTGCTTGATTTCCAAATCTGAAACAAATAAATTCACCAGCTGAAAGGATGAATTGTCACAAAAAAACGACAGTTTCAGGTTTTATTTTCATATTTGGTGTCATTATAAGTTAATGTTATGGGTGATTTTTTTTACGTTTTGCACAGTCCTAATCAATGCCACTAAAAGGTTTAATCTGATAACCACTGTATGAAATAAGTGACATTAGCTTACCGTCATTAACAGCACACGACTTGCAGCCCAATCTGTCGGTTGAGGTACCACATGGTAAGACACCAATATCGTAGTCACATATTTCTGTTTCGCCAGCTTGACACGAGGCTCGGCACATCGAAGCAACAGGAGTGTCGGCTTCAGTCATGACTTTGGCAGCATATTCATTTGCTACAATGTGAAACATGTACACGTATAAATACATACAGAAGATAGACAAATTAAACAATCACGTTAAGACAGAAAACATATTTGCCATACTTACCAGGACAAGCTGACTCAGCACCTGAAAACATAATAGAAGAGTACGTAAAAATTACATTGAAAAATACATATATATCCATACAAATATTGCATACAGGAATGTGCTCATTTTAATCGTTTAAAAAACGAATGTATGGGTGAATGCTGGCGCGGCCTCGTGATCATGTGGGCGACAAATATATAAATTCTATACACATATTCATGCAAATATATCAGGAAAACGGTCGTCGGTTACTAGTAAGATAACATATAGAATCATTCACGATAGAGCTATAACACTTGATTAAAAAAATGACTTTTTTGGCCCATGATAGACCGTATATGTTGTACTCTGTGCCAAGGATGTCGCAGAAAAAACACTACCTTTTTGTTAGGAAACCTTGATTACATGTATACATCTGTATAACACTATTCCTTTCAGAAAAGAATTTCACAATCTCGTAAATTATGAACTAATGCACCCATACACATATCGTGTGAGTATTCTGCTATTTTATGTTATGTTATTTACATTGACGTAAATAATAATTTTGAAGTTTCTTCTACCTTAAACTGTTACACATAACATACTATGTACATAATTAGTATTCATATCACATGCAGATGAACAAAATGTGTAACTCACGAGTTTGTTTGGGGAAAACCCATTTAGAAAGCCCATTCTGTACAAACAAAAATATGGATGAAATTATAATGATATATTGAAAGTATTCATAGTTTGCTGTATTTCTATGACGACATTATTCCAATGAATGAGTTCGAATGGAAATAATGAAATTACCTCACTGCACGTTGTCAGCGTCAATGAAGTGGCGACTAACAGGCATCGTACTACAAAAATTGACATCCTGAAAATGGAATCAAATAGAATCAAAATGTAGTTTATTTATTGTATATGGCATGCCAAATCAATTGCAAAATGTGGTAGTTTCACTAAAATTTAAAATATCATGAATACTCGCCGAGGGTAGTGAATTCCGCAATAATGAGGTATTCCGTTTCAGCATTCCGAATTGTAGACAATCGGCACAGGCGTAGAAATGGTCTTTCACTACATCTTTGGCATTCATGGTAGTGATGTCATTGGCAACAAATTAAATGTTCCTCGAACGATATGTAATTTTGTCTATATTTTTTTTAAAACTGAGTTCATATCAAAACAGTATTTTGTTCATAAAGGGAAATAAAAATGCATTGTACACAGTATGTCTGTATAAGTAGTACATAAAGACATAGCAAACATATGACGAAAAGAAATACATTTAATATGTCTTAGTACATAAAGACATAGCAAACATATGACGAAATGAAATACATTTTATATGTCTTATTGAGTTATTGATTTACTAGACAGTGAAATACATAAAGGCATTACAGAAAGATTATTGATGATTTGCTGTCAGAGTGTTGAGAAGTTATGCGTGGATGACTGAATGCAATCAAATCGATCATGTGTAGACGCATATTTTGTCTCGTTTACAACAATATGGGGTTAGTAATGAACTGTCGAATTTTTCAAAGTGGCTCTACCATATCAACCAATAATTGTCAACAACAATTCATTTCTCACGACAGGGAAAACTGCATATATTATATTTTAAAAACAGACATATAAACACTGTACTTAAATTGCAAGTGAAATTACATACCTGTGAATGAATACAGTGGTCAAGCTTCCTTTGCACAATTGCACGGTGTACAAATTATGAAAATATGTATGGTTCTAGTACATTTTATAGATATGTGGGTGCTTGACGTAATCCGGAATAGAGTGAACGTCTGTGTATCATTAAATTGAATAATCAAAGCAGAATGGAACAACGCGTGCTATTGCATAAAACACGACTTGTTGTGTGGATTAAATTCGTCAGTTATCTCCGGGCGAACTTTTGATGACTTTATGGAAAGACTTATAGTTGTATTCCGATTACCATACATAGACGCATGATGAAATCAAAAAGGAATGCGTGTATCATATTTGTATTTTGATGTCGGTATGAACTAATTAATCACAATAGGATAGCGATGTGCGTGTTAGCTGGTCAGTTACCTCAGATGTACCTTTGATGACGTGTCATGTTACAGTGTATATGTTTTGAATCCAGTTCATATTGAAGGTGAAGTCAATTGACATGGATATGTCATGGTGTCACCGTCATCATTTAATTAGATCCGGTATGACACTGTTTAAAATAGAAATCAATGTTTAAGCTTTTTATGCACAAGCCTAACCGGAATGGACTACAACTATTGGAACTTTTGCAAATATATTACTAGAATACCATTTGTGTGAAATGCGAGTAACTGTAACAAGAATCGTAATACAACAAACGACACCCTGAAAATAAACAAAATCTGTGAAAAATGGAATCGAAATGTTGTTTATTTAATGTTTATGGAATGCCAAAAATATATTATGAATTCTCACCAAGTGTAGTGAGTGAAATCAACAAGGCAAACTAAAATTATTAACGTTTCAGCTTTCCGAATTATAGACATTCGGTGCAGACGCAAAAATAAGTTATCACAACATCTTTCATGGTAAGGATGTCATTGACTAAAATTAAATGTTCTAGAAACGATATGTAATTGTGTCTACAATTGTTTAAAAGCTGAATTCGAATCTACACAGTATTGTGTTCATAAACGGGAATAAGAATGCATTGTATACAGTATTCTGTATAATTAGTACATTTGAAACGGCAAACATTTGACGAAGTGAAATACATTTAATATGTCAAGCATCCTATGCACAATTGCACGGTGTAAAAAATACGGAAATTCATTTGGCCCTGGTTCAATTTACAGATATGTGGGTGCGTGACGTAATTCGAAGAGGGTGAACATCTGTGTATCATAAAATTGAATACTCAACGCAGAATGGCACAACGCGTGCTATTGCATAAAACACGACTTGTTGTATGGATTAAATTCGTCAGTTACCTCTGGCGAACTGCTGATGACTATATGAAAAGACTTATAGTTGTATACCGATTACCATACATAGACACATGATGAAATCGAGAAAGCAATGCGTGTATCATATTTGTGTTTTGATGTCGATATGAATTATTTAATCACAATAGGATAGCGATGTATGTGTTAACTGGTCAGTTACCTTAGATGTTCAAAATTGTGTTTATTTAATATATATGGGATGTCAAATGATCACAAAATGTGGTAGTTTGTCTCAAATTTAAAAAAAAATATTATGAATTCTAGCCAAGTGTAGTGAGTAAATTCAGCAAGGCAAACTAAAATAATTAACGTTTCAGCATTCTGAATTATAGACAATCGATGCAGGCGTAGAAATAAGCTATCACTACATAATTTCATGGTAGTGATGTCATTGACTAAAATTAAATGTTCTAGAACGATATGTAATTTTGTCTACAATTTCTTAAAGCTGAATTCGAATCAAAACGGTATTTTGTTCATAAAGAGAGATAAGCAAGACATTGCAAATATTTGAAATGCGTTTAATATGTCAAGCTTCCCTTGCACAATTGCATGGTGTACATATTACGAAAATAAATTTGGCCCTGGGACAGTTTAAAGATATGTGATTGCTTTACGTAATCCGGAATAGGGTATGAACATCTGTGTATCATGAAATTAAACAATCAAAGCAGAATGGAACAACGCGTGCTATTGCATAAAACACGACTTGTTGTATGGATTAAATTCGTCAGTTACCTCGGGTGAACTGCTGATGACTATATGAAAAGACTTATAGTTGTATACCGATTACCATACATAGACACATGATGAAATCGAGAAAGCAATGCGTGTATCATGTATGTGTTTTGATGACGATATGAATTAATTAATTACAAAAGGATAGGGCTGTGCGTGTTAACTGGTCAGTTACCTCAGGTGTACCTTTGATGACGTTTCATGTAACAGTGTTTATGTTTTGAATCCAAATTATATTGAAGGTGAATTCAATTGACATGGAAATGTCATGGTGTGACCGTCGCCATTTAACTGGATCCGATATGACATTGGATGATATTGTTTAAAATATTAATCCCATTTTAAGTTTTTTATACACAATCCCAACCGGAATGGACTACAAATATTGGAACTTTTGCACAGATATTACGAGAATAGCATTCATGTGAAATGCGAGTGACTGTAACAAGAACTGTAATACAACAAACGACATCCTGAAAATAAAAATCTATGAAAAAAATGGAATCAAAATTTTGTTTATTTAATATATATCGGATGCCAAATGATTACAAAATGTGGTAGTTTGTCTCAAATTTAAATAGAAATATTATGAATTCTCGCCAAGTGTAGTGAGAAAATTCAGCAAGGCAAGCTAAAATAATTAACGTTTCAACATTCTGAATTATAGACAATCGGTGCAGGCGTAGACATAAGCTATCACTACATCTTTCATGGTAGTGATGTCATTGACTAAAATTAAATGTTCTAGAGCGATATGTAATTTTGTCTACAATTTCTTTATTTTGTTCATTGCAAACATTTGAAATACGTTTAATATGCCAAGCATCTCATGCACAATTGCACGGTGTACAAATTACGAAAATACATTTGGCCCTGGGACAGTTTATAGATATGTGGGTGCTTGACGTAATCCGGAATAGAGTATGAACATCTGTGTATCATAAAATTGAATAATTAAAGCAGAATGGCACAACGCGTGCTATTGACTTGTTGTGTGGATTAAATTGGTCAGTTACCTAGGGCGAACTGTTGATGACTATATGGAAAGACTTATAGTTGTACACCGATTACCACACATACCGCATGATGAAATCGAGAAAGCACTGCGTGTATCATGTGTGTGTTTTGATGACGATATGAATTAATTAATCACAATAGGATAGCGCTGTGCGTGTTAAATGGTCAGTTCCCTCAGATGTTTCTTGATGACGTGTCATGTTAATGTTTATGTTTGAATCAAATGCATATTGAAGGTAAAGTCAATTATCATGGATATAGCAATGTGTCACCATGGCCATTTAATTGGAGCTAGTATGACATGGGATATTATTCTTTAAAATATTGTTCTCTATTTAAGTTATTATATTATATTATTATATTTAATCTCAACCGGGATGTACCACAGCTATTGGAACTTATTACAAAGATGTTAGGAGAATAGGTCTTGTGAAATGCGATTGATTGTTTTCATCTTATCCTTGCAGGTCAGGCGAGGTTAAAATGAATTCATATTACAATCATGCAAGTAATGTGATAGCCAGATTATAAAATCTATAGATACTGTAATTTTCCACTTACTATAGCAAAACCTCTTTATCTTTTCACTGCAGAGATCTCAGAATACCCGTGCTTGCGTTTATAATTTGTGGAAATTCATAAATTGATCAAACACAAACTTTAATAAAATTAGAGTAGCATGCATATTTCAATTTAATCACATAGTTGCTGCAAAAGATGAAACAGACAACAGGGTAAACAATTGAAATTAATCACAATTAACATGTGAATGAGAAAATAAACCATATATTCCAGATAACCACAATTTATTTGGCGATATTTTAATGAACACAAATACAACTAAATTTAAATCACAAATTCTGAAAATAGTATGAAGTTTGAACGAAAGTAATATTATGTCATGTGTACAGATTTAAATATGAATATAGTGGAAATTAAAAATGCCAAAAAAACTCCATGTTATGATTACAAACATATGGTGAAATCGGAAGGGAAGGGAACATTTGTGTATCACAGATGTAGTGAGAGATGTCGATATGAATTTATTATTCACAATAAAATTACGCAGCGCGTGTTAATAAATAAAACCGACCTGTTGCGTTAATTGAACTGGTCAGTTACCTGAGATGAACTTCCGATGACATGTTATTTGTTAGAGTGTTTTTGAATTCAATTTATATTGAAATGAGGTCAATAGACATGGATATGGTATGGTGTCGTCGTTTTTAAGATTCAGTATGAAATGTTTCGTGTATACTATTAATCTTAGTTTATTCTATTTAAGCCCACTCGGCATGCACTCTCCATTATGGTGAACTTTTACGAGGTTATCACGATATGAGATTGCATCTTCGTGCAAATCGAGGGACTGTTTTTATTTTTTCTATAACCATGCAGACTGTAGAGAGGTTAAATGAGTTTACTTTATTCTAAGTGTGAGGGAATAACACCTAGCAGTCATAGCCGAGGGGTGATAAATCCTCGCAATAATATGAAATTGAGATGAAAACTCATCAGAATAACCTCGCTATTATGAGAGTTACAACAATAACTAATCTATGTCAAGTATGGCTGGATGACATAAACGACGCCCTCAACAAATCACTCCACATCCTGTCACCCTATGCTTAACCAGTTTTTTTGTTTTCTTTATGATGCTTACTGTCGTGAGATCAACAGTGACAATCACGATTGTTCAAATATTGTGCCCAAATCTAACCTTTTAAGACGCCGTTGAGACAATGAAAAATTAGGAAGATCATGGTTTTACTATAAATGAATTTTACTCGTACTGTTAATGAAGAGAAACACGTGTATGAGAGGCAAATGTCTGTCTCGTCGTTGTTGTCGTCATCGGCGTATTGTCGTTGTCCCCGTCGTTAGCACTGTTTATCGTGGTTGAACTAACTCATGAAATTTTCATCCGATCGTTTTTAAACTTGGGTATCATATTAGTGACTGTAAAATCTTGGC